TGAAACTAGGAACCACAGCCCAGGAGAATAATCCAGCCCTTTTCTATCAACATTCTATAATTCAAGAAATCTTTGGCAGGCTGCTTCCTTCTCCACAGCTGGCTCCGCTCAAACCACTGAAATCACCTTCAAGGTATGTGAGTGTGTGTTTAGATGCAGGTAGGGGTTAAAAAATAATCAAAATGATATTACTAAATTAAGAACTGCTTTTCATGCATTCTCTTCTTTTTCTGTCATATCCAATTATATTTCAGCAATTACACTAATTCACGTTCTTCTCTTATTTTTGCATCTGCTGTCCTTGCTGGAACTTGATTCACTTATTCACAAAATACTGAAATAGCCACCCTCACCCAGAACAAAAAACTCATTATCTCTGGAAGTCATTAACACAAGTGAAACTTGGGGAAATAGGTTATAAAGGGCAAACTCTCCATTCAAGAACTAAGCTTCTTCAAGAATTAATTCCAAAACTTTCATCTCTGGCAATGGCTGATTTTCATGTACCCTCCTTAAAAGTGCCCTCCAGCCCAACTCAACACAAAAGGCCTCTGCCATTTCCTTGAATGCACCTGGGGCACCAGGGTTCCCTGTTCCTTTGCACTCTGCCCTCTTTCACTGGCTTTACGCACTGAAATCTTACGTAGGCTGCTTCCTTCTCCACAGCTGCCTACACTCAGACCAACTTCTCACAGTTAAGATATGTGAGTGTGTGTTTAAATACATGTAGGGGTTAAAAAGTAATCAAAATGACATTTTTTATAATTAAAAAAGTTGAGGAGATTAGACATGTAAACCTATGATAAACACATAAAACTTGAAATAGTAAGAAAGCTATTTTGGATTTTGGAAAACTCAGATTTGAAATAAAATAAAAATGTCAATGAAGCGATCTTTTAAATGTAACCAGTCAAAATGAATAACCAAATGGAGCACTTTCAATGTGCTGTACGTTTAATGTTGATGTGCTGGTGTGTTAATACAGCTGGGCAGACCACTGATGATTTGTCCAGTGGACACAAGTCCTCTGAGTTTGGACTTACCAACTGCACAATAAATGCTGCCTACAATTGTACAATCCTTTCTAATGCTCTCACCTTCAATTTTGCAAGTCCTTCCTAATATTTAGGAATGTTTTTATATATACTGGGTGGACATAAAGTTCATGTGCAATTTACTATGTTAAACTACTTTAAGCTGCACATTATAAATTATCTATCTATCTGTCTATCTATACATCCATCCTACACATTTGATTTCATATATATATGAAATTAAAATATATATATATATATATGTATAATCTGTGCTAATGATCTATTCATAGCCCAGGCTCACAACTATGAATCTTTTATTTTCCTGGCCATATAACTTATCAGGGGCGTTTAAAATTATTAGCTGAAACATTAATACTCTCTGACTGAAGCTGAACTACCTTCCAAATTATAATTCTTTATTAATGATTGAACAATAATTAAAAAGGAAGTAAAGGAGGAAGTCCATTAAAGAGACGTGAAAAAAACAGCCTTTGTAACCTTGAATTTATGAGTTAGAAAAGCAGAAAACTGCACAGTTAAGTTAGTAGTTGAAGAGGAGTAAACTTACCTAATTATCTGAAGTCAGAATCTGAGGTTTTAAAATATGCAAATTATCTGTCTTGACTATATACACTTGGACCAATTTACACACATTTGTTACAGATAAATAAGCAGAATTGAGGAGAACCTTTTCCACACTTTAAGAACAGAATCACTTTTATTAGTTTTACTGAATTTCAAGTAGCTTTAAATAATTCATTCTGCTCTTAACAGAGCAAACATACTACGGTGCCCACTTGACCTCAAATGTTGAAAGTCAGAAGGATTTAAGAAATATCTCATCACTAGTAGTTTCTTCACTTTTTCTAGAACAAAGATGATATTAAATAGAATTTCCTGCCCTGTGCAGTCTCCCTAAGGCACGCCTCCAATGTCAATGCCAGCGGAAACACTAGAAATGACGGTGAACTCAGGTTTACATTCCCCATGTCTCTGGGCCTGTGGCACTGTGTAGAAATGACATTCAAGATTTATGGTCTTACTTTTCCACAGCAACTAGCAAAATCCTGTACTCACTCTGTCCTGACAATGTACCTGACTCTCTTTCTATGCACAACAAATGGTCTTTATCCCCTGATGATATGGTTTTTTTAAAAAAGGTCCCTTCTTGATATATTAATTTAAACACTGTACAGAGAATCAAAGTAACACAAAATATAGTTGCTTATTCACCAGAGATCCTCTCCCCAGCTGTGCCACTGTCCACATTCAATGCATATTGAGTTCCTACTATCATTTGTGGGAGAGAATAAATTGACACCAAACATATCTTTTCATTCAAAATCAGGGCTAGCACAGGAAATCTCACTGACAGCGAATGCTAGCGGTCTGGGTGTATGAGAAACACACACCTATTACGGCCACTTCTCCCTTTCTTAAAAGCTTCCAGTGAAAGAATGACTCATGGATATTGAAGCTAGTAAAATTTATTTCACACCTGAAGTGATTTTCAGAGAAAAATATGTCTTCCCATTCAACTGTGTCCTCAAACTAATTGTGAAAATGTCTTCATTTGGGAGAGGGGTGAGGAAGGCACAAATATCAAAGAAATTTAGCAAAAAGAAAACCACAGTCAGCTCTCCATTATTTGGGGGCTGATTAAAATACTCAAGGCGATGCGGAAAGTCCATATTTGGGTTGTGTTGATGAGAGTGGATTGGGGAGGTGGGGGGTTGGGACTACAAAACGTAACAAACTCCAATGCTGGCTCTGGATGGGGAGGCCGCCAAGGTGAGATTGACTGACCAGAATCTCAGCACCTCTACCAGCTGTGCCATTCTGCACATGGCCTAATGTTTGAGCACGAGTGTATCATTAATTTTCAAATCAATTAATTTAGTTTTAAATAACAAAACTGACTAATTGCATTACTAAAGGCAATGTTATAACGTATTGTTTTACTTTTAATTTGTATCTTAAATTTTATTTCATAAGTGAAGACCAATACAAGAGGCATAACTTAAATTCAGAAGTTATACCTAGAATAAAATATTCATTATGAGCCTTTAACATGAAATAAGAAGCATGCAGACTCATGAAAATATTCAGACTCCATTAATTACATTTCATAATAGTTACATATTTTTTCTATCCATGTATCCATTCTTCAGGTGTTTCAGGGAATGAAAGACAGGCACTAATTCTCAGTTTTGGTAAAGGTGCCCAACAGTAATTCTTACAAGGGTTAAACAGTTATAAGACCCACGGTAAGTGCGGATGGCAGCGCCCTGTAAAATAGGCTTTAGCTGAAGAAACGTGTGCTCCCCACGCTTCCTTCATCAAGCAGAGTGAGACCAGCAGCCACGGGGACTTTTTGAAAAGGCATAAACATTAACTCAAATATAATAATAATGCCATTTAAACCATCACAAATAATCTTAAGAAAAGTCAAATTTTATACTATGATGCAGGCATCCTCAAACTACCGTGCATGGGCCACAGGTAGCCCACCTAGGACATTTACCCGCCCGCTGGGTGTTTTTGCTGCTGCTGCCTGTCCTGCTTAGCAGTGGACTCGTCCTGGGGCCCACAGTCTGGCCCTCCAACGGTCTGAGGGACAGTGAACTGGCCCCCTGTTTAAAAAGTCTGAGGACCCCTGCTATAATGCAAACTAGAATAATTGCAGTTCATTATTTTATTACATATCAAAACCAATAAAATTAATAATTTAAAGACTTCACCAGACCAACTATAAATAGGGTCAGACATCTTGATTTGAAGTAATTAGTAATAATTGGTCAAATGACTTTATCACTTCCGACTGTTATTGATCAGTTCATTTCTGTATACAATAAGCACATAGAGCACACATTTGAGGCACGGTAATATTTATATGTAGAAGGTTTTGCTTCAATTTCTTATACATGATTAGTATACAGGAAAGAAGTAGCCACCTGTTACTATCTAAATAAATGGAAATCCACAGAAAAATTTTACTTGCAATAATAAGTGAAGCTAAAATAAAAAACAATCAATGACAATATATTTACTATCAAGTAGATGTATAAAAGCAGCTTTTAGAGTATATTTATGACAATATTTATTGCATACCATTGTAACAGAGACGGGTGAATGTAAAACTATGAAAGAACTATCATCACTTACCTCTGGTAACATTTCTGCTCCCGCTGGTCGACTTATCTGAAGAACACGGGCAATGTCCTTCACACTGGACTGAAATCTGTTTTCCTAAGACACATGCCTGATATTCTAGTTTGCACTGTATAACAAGAAAGAAAAAAATAAATCAAAGGTGGTATTTCAGTAGAAATTTAAGAAATATTTGAAAGAAAGACAGGTTGTTATGCATATAATTTGAACAACTTTTCACTACATGCTGTGTTCCAATAGCAAGGTACCATTTTACTCCCTATCCACGTGCTGGGCTGGTTGTCATTTTGGTCAGCAGTTACTGAGAAATATAACAGTCTTAAAGGTTGTTTTTGGTTTGTTAGCTGTGTTATATGAACTGAGGAGAGAATTTTAGAATCAAAAAGACAGAGAAATGACTTAAGAGTTTGAAAGGGCATCTTTTAAATACAGGGGGACATAAACTTCGTGTGTAATGTAAAATAGTCTAACATAGTAACCTGCACATGCACTTTACGTCCACTCTGTATATTTTTGGCTTTCACTTGCTTGAGGAAGGCGCCCGTTTTACTGGACGCTAAGTTTTGGCTGTAGAGACTATACATGTTTGTCTTCTGCCAGCGAACTGCGCGGTGTCCAGTGGCTTATCTTACAACATATGAGGCAAACAACTGTAAAATACATATTTCTGAACTAGTGAGTTTATGAAACGTTTCTGTGATTACATACGGTTTCCCATAGTAGTCCAAACACACACACACACACACACACAGCAAGCAGACACCTTTATGTATACATTCCGTAGATATTTTTGGTATGATGATCTTTTAGGCCTCTCTCTAATCCTTCATGCAAGTGATTTTTCAACTGAGCTCTCCATAGGTCCTACCTGTGAAAAAATATGTAGTCACACTACTGTCACAGAAGACTCTTTCTACAAGCCGCAAAGATGATTTCATTTGTTTTACTCAAGAGTAAAGCACACCTCTCGCCAGTACCTCTATGACCCCAGGGTGAGAAGTGATGGAGGGAGGATGACGGGCACTTGTGATTCTCTTACAGATGTTACGGAAAAAGACAAATGCTTCAGAGGAAAAGGGTTATGCCAGGGTTTGAACCTTACGTGTGGCATCTCCTAAAAGTGACATTTAGGGCTAGTTTCTCCAATGTTCTCAGCCTCAATTTTCTGTAGAGTTTGATGAATCCCCAGCTTTTCACAGGGCAGAGCAGTCATGAACTCGGCTCCCAGCAAATGTGGAAAACAGCTAAATGTAATTAAACAATCAAAAATATTATAGCACATGAGTTTTTTATTTGTTTATTGTTTGGTTTTAGGTTGGCTTGGCTTCATTTCTTTTTAAACATTAATCTTCATAGAATTTTATGTCTGAATTTAATTTATTTTTAAGATAATATTTTATTATAACATGATTTAAAAATTATTAACCTACTCCATCTTTTAAGAGTCAATAATTATCTTCGTACTCTAAAAGAAATACATTTTGCTAATTCTAAAGTAATGTGGTTTCTTAAGTGGTTACTTTCATAATTTACTCATAGCAAATTATTTTAAAATTAAATAAGGTAGACTTTCTGGCTCCAATAGACCAGTGACTAATTTAAATCAGCTTCATTGATATAAAAAGTACGAATGCACCCAATTACTAACCAGATTACTCAAATTTCTGCAACATTTTATTTTTCCTTGTCAAATAATTCTTTAATGGACTAGCAAAATCCTAACTAGCCCTGCAACAAATGATTAAAAATTATTGATTACTGTGAATATGTCGATAGTACCGGATTGATATTGTGCCTTTTGGAGGAAAATCTCTTTCAAAAGTGTCATTATTTTTTACTATTCAATGTTTCAATAATTGAAGCAAATGATTCTGTCATGTAAAATCACAATGAATTTTAAATGTAATTTAAAAGTCCAATATCTAATCAAAAACAGAACTAAATAGTTAAAGCAACTATTTATTGAGTGTTTCAATGAAAACTGAATGAATTTTATGAAACTTTGAGACTTCAAATATTCCTGTAACTACAGTTAACTCAGTATTTCAGAACCCTGAGCCTACTCCTATGATAATTCTGACTCATAATTTAAGTAAAGTTCAAGAACAATTTTAAGTGGTATATGAGCAAAGCCATAAGTCAGTGTTAATCATAGCTAATGTTGGATTGTACCATTTGCAAATATGTGAGCTTCCTTCATAGATATGTTATGTCCTATTCCTTTACATGATAAATGTGGTTTACTTTAGCAGTGTTTTTTAATATAAAGAATATGCATGTCTGGGTAAAAATGTGATTAAACAAAAATATAAGAGCTGTTAGTTTATTAAAAGTGAGAATCGCGTATTTCTGCTCAAAACTTGATGATTATCTTTTTATGTTTTTAGGCACTAAAAAATAATTTGCAAAAAGTACATAATCTTTATAAAAATTTCATTAACTGTTAATCATAAAGCATTTCTTTTACTAACTCTTTCTGGTGTCATTACAATATAAGAACCTCAAAGTAGTCCCTAAGATTTGCATGATATGATTAAATTATGTCTTCATAAAAATATTACTTTATAAATAAAATATTTTATTTCAGAATGATTCTACTGAACATCTTTTTTTCTCTAAGCATTTCTATAAATAGCAACAAAATCAGAAGTGTAGCAAATATACTTCATGTAGATAATCACATCAATCTATCTTCCTGTAATCAGAAAACTATTTAGTTTTATTTACTTAAGTATTTATTTTGGAAAAAAAAGTCATGGAAAATTTTACTCACAGAATATTAGGACATTAAAAATGCTTGTTTTAAATATTTTTTTAACTGCACACACTGATTGCATTTGTAATTAATAATGTTCAATTTACTTAATTATCACAAAGCTGAAATATTTATAAAGGTACACGTGAACTAAAATACCACATAAAGGGCATGCTTATTAGTCTATACTTACCAAAAATGCAAATCATGTAGAGAAAGACATGATTACTGCACTCCTGATTATCTAAGAATCCTGAGCATCAACAACACTTAAGTTACACTTTACTGTGTAAAGCAAGGCTGCGGAATGATTTTGACACTAGTCATGGAGAGGTGATTTATAGTCGTTTCTTTAATAACAAGATCAAAGAAGAAAATATGATGTTATTCCAGGATAGATGTCCAGCACTCAGAAAGGACCCCAGCCCTCTGGGCAGTAAACTGGTAACCTGTTACCAGCTTTCAAGATGATGCCATCAGCACAGCCATGACAAACGCCTCAGGCCATAAGTCCTTGGCTAGGGATTCCCCACCCCAACCCAGGGCCTGGACATCTACAGACATTTCAGTTGCTACTCTATTTCTGGTGGAGTGCATGTTGCTAGCAGCTACTAGTTAGAAGCCAAAAATGCCCCTAAACATCTTGCAATGCACAGGACAGCTGCCCCTGCCACAACAAAGAATTACCTGGCCCCAAATACCAAAAGTCCCTACACTGGGAAGTGCTGATTAAACACTTGTCTACTTAGAGACAATGCTGCCATTATCTGATCTCTCAAGAGCCCTTCTGCATTTTCCTTAGGAATTTTTTTCTTGGACATTGACTAATCCATATAAAACAAGAATATTTCTGGGCAGCGCCTGTGGCTCAAAGGAGTAGGACACTAGCCCCATATGCTAGAGGTGGCAGATTCAAACCCAGCCCCAGCCAAAAACAGCCAAAAAAAAAAAAAAAAAACCCCAAGAATATTTCTATTAGCAAATTACAAACTACAAGCACATTAATTATCCAGAGAAACCAGAAAATGCAAATCAACTAAAACAACAAAACACACACTAGCCATAGTGCACTTTCATGAAGGTGCCACTGTGTGTCAAACTCTGTGTTCAGCATTTGGAAGCATTATTCTTTTGTCTATAAATATATATAAAATATATAAATATTTTGGGGCGGCACCTATGGGTCAGAGTAGAGTGTGGACCCCATATGCCAGAGGTGGTGGGTTCAAGCCCAGCCCAGCCAAAAAAAAAATAATAATAATAATAATAATAATAAATAATATATATAAATATTTTATATTTATTTAATTTTTTTTTCTGAGACAGAGTCTCACTATGTCACCCTCAGTAGAGCACTGTGGTATCACAGCTCACAGCAGCCTCCAATTCCTGGGCCCAAGTGATTCTCCTGCCTCAGCCTCCCAAGTAGCTGGGACCACAACACTAGCCATTTTTTGGTTGTAGTTGTCATTGTTTAGAAGGCCTGGGCTGGGCTTGAACCTGCTACCTCCGGTGCATGTGGTTGGTGCCCTACTCACTGAGCTATGGGTGTGGAGCCAAGAGTTACATTTTTTTACAACAAATTTTATAATTGAAGTTTAGAGTTTATGCAACTGATCAGAAATACACAGCTGACGTGGGATTCAAACACTACTTTCCAGTTCTTCCAACATGGTTCAAGTCTGTGACAATCAGTAGAAATAGCAATAATTTTCTTTTTCTTATTGTAGCAATTTTTATTCAAAATCACTTATTCTGTTTTAATCTATCTTGGATTGGCTAATTTACTATGCCTCTTTAATGCCCTAGAGGTAATCGGTATCAAAGACAGGACCTGAATTCTCACCCAAAGAATCCCTTACACTCCAGGGTAGCTGACCCATTTCCAAGCAGACCTACTTGTTTCCAGTTCTGAGCCTCCTGTTGGTATTTCCCATGCAAACAAATCCACGTGAAGAAACTAAGACTTCATTCAGCCTTCAGTTCATTCATCCATTCGATCTGGACATACCGTGTCCATGGAAACACCTTAAGTGTGGCCTATGGACACAGAGCAGCAGCATGGAAAGGCATCTGCTCCTTGGTGGGCCCTGGGCCAGCGTCTTCTCCGTGTGACACTCTGCCTTCCATCAAGGAATATGACACCCTGATTGTCTGGGGGAGTTTTCCTTTTCTGACCAAAACTATGATTGGGGGAAACCTGTTTATCCATCACAAAGTGTTGTATCATACCTCCTTCACCATAGGGAGAATGTGTGATATGAGGCAGGTCAGTGATTTTCCCGCCCTCTCACTCTGTCCCAGGGAATGGAGCCCTCGCAGAGGCGCTAGAGACATGAGAACAGATGCTGTGT